CCCCAAAACCCCAAAACCCCAAAACCCCAAAACCCCATGAATGTAAAATAGATCTATAAGTAAGTCAAATAAACTTATCTTAATTCAAAATTCACAAAATATAGAATATAATAAATTTATAGTCAGCTGTATTCTAAGAAAGAGTACATAACGTGATGAGGGGGAGAAGTGCCATTATTGTTTTCCAAGAACAAATGCAAGTTGCCCACCTAATCAATAATTATGGGGTACTCCACAATACCTGCTCTGTCAATTTTATCTAGCTGTTCAATTGTGTATTCCTTTTCTAAATCAAAGCAGAACACAGCATCACTTTCCTTGCTCATCCTCTGAAGCCCACCTATCAGTAATATCTTAGTGGTTGAGATCTTAAGTGATTAGAATCTTCTCAGTGGAGAAGGCATGGTTAACTCCATAAGTTCCATCTTCTTGGTCTTCATGTTAAATCGCTCAATTGTGTTCAATGTACCCTCATTTCTGTTATACCCTCCGAATATGAATATAGTAGTGTCATCAAAGATACAGCAACTGTTCTGGGATCTCTCCTTTGTCAGTTTATACTCAACAGTGCCTTGAGCGTTATCGTGAGGTGAATTTTGCCATATATCCTTCTCGATATCATAGTACTCACAGGTGCTCAGTTAAACTTTGTCGTAGGCATCATAACCGCCAAAAGTATATATAATGCCCTTAAAGTATATGCAAGCAAAGAATGTCTTTTCTTAAGGCATCTACGCTCTCACTTTTAGAGTCTTGAAGTCATAATTAACACAAGTATTAGAGTTACCATTTCCTCCAAGCATGTAGTAGCCGATATCTGCATTGATGTAAAGCAATGAGTAGTGAGCTGAAAATTCACTTTTGTACTTGCCAATTAGTTTCCATTTAAATGCATTAGATTGAGGGATTTGCTATGAAACAGACTACTCTGAATCTTGATTTTGTTATTACTATTACTGATGCTTTTGTGTTATATCAATCACCATTCGGCCAATTCTATTTGAGCCATATTCAAACCAGAAAAGTTAATTAGTTTGATTAACGTATAGCTTATTCTGCTCACAGTAATTCTTGAATAACTCTGTTTGTGTAAATATATTATTCCTGTTTTCAAGTTCTTCTTCTTCATCTTCAAATTCCCCTGCTCCATCTATATTATGTGTTTGTTCTGTTAATTCCTGAGGAGCACCAATGAAATTTTAATTGCTTTGAGGTCGTCTTTGCTATATCAATTACTTTTAAATCTGACTTATTGGAGATTACTGATGAATCTATCCTTCAGCTCCACCTCCACCTTACTTGGGCATAAGGTTTTCTTACTTACTCCCATTCACTGGAGTTTGAAGGTCTTTCATTGATTATTTCTGGATGAGTTAGGCTATGTTAGGGTTAATCTTAGGCATTATGTATTTATTAGTGCCTGGTGATAAAATGTAGTTAGAGACATTCTAGGGATCTACTTATCCATCGTGATAAGTAGTGGCTACTTTGCAGAGTTCTATAAATGATGGTCTATCAACTTCATAGAACCTAAGCATTAATCTGACACATTCACAGACAGTGTCACTATACCTCACTTTTAACTTCTTAACACCTGCATCAATCAATTTCTCACCATCATATTCTGCACTCTTTTGGTTGAAGCCAGTCACATCATCCATACTAGCAAGTTGATAGAACAGCAGACCCACTGAAAACACATCACTCTTGTAAATGTTATGCTTTGCAAATCTGGAATTTCCATCTACCACATGTGCTTTCCACAGAAGAGGAGATAAATATTGCGGAGTTCCTCTGATAGTAGCAGTAGTTGCTTCTCCACCATCTTCTGCATCTCGGAAAAAATCCTTGGACTCACCAAAATCAATTACTTTAATCTCCCCACTATTCATCAGGAACAGATTAGCTGGTTTAAGATCTCTATGGCACAGCCCAACGCTTTGCATATATGACAGAGTTGATATTAGCGACACAATCATTTTCTCTAGCTCGTCTTACTTCCAAAAGACTTGCATTTGCTTTCTCTTCCGGAAGACATACTCTAGATTGAGTCTATGCTCGATATACTCACATACTATACCTATTCTAAAGGTATTATACATGGTTTCATAAAAGAAATAGCCATAGAACTGAATAATATTGGGATGGTTTTATGCCTTAAATAACTAAACTGCCTCCTCCTAAAACAAGTCATTAAAATCAAAAGCTCATTCGATAATTAACTAACCTTGTATTCGTTGAGCTTGTCAAGAGTTTTAGCTTCTACTTCCTTGAGTGCATAGTACTTGCCAGTCGGTATATGAAGTGCCTTATAAATTTTGGTGTTCTTTTTACCTGATCCTAGCAAGTCAACTTTCTTAAAATCCTATTTTCTAAACATTAATTCAAATTTAACTTTATTTATTATTTATTTCTGTTTAGGATTAATAATTCTTCGTTCATTGTAAATAAATATTTGCTCGGGGTTTTGGGGTTTTGGGG